CGGTATATGTCGACCCTACCCCCCCCCCCCCCCTCCCCCCCCCCCACATCTACTGTATATATTCGCTTTTCAGGCCCAGACCAACCAGGCCTCTGACATTTGATGTGAGGCTGCGCCATAACCTCGAGGTTCTTCAAATGTAAGCACACGTCAGGAGAGAGGTGTCAATAAAGGCTCTGTGTTGTCAACATATTCCCCTCATATTCACCCAGATAAACACATAGGTGGGGCTTCCAAGAACTGCTCGCAGACTTATATGTGATGAGAAACAAAGAGAATAAAGCTTGTGTCGTTGTTTTCAGTATTTACGAAACGGCAGGTGTAAGAAATGTAGCAAAACAACAAATGTCCATGTCTTACAAATGGCACTTACCCTTGTCAATTCTGCTCCCAGCTCCAACACTGGAAACACCGGAATGTCTGTGGCCAAGACCACTGTGGACAAATTGCTGAAGGGATATGACATTCGTTTAAGGCCTGATTTTGGAGGTACGTGCTGCTTTTCCATTTGCTTTTCAGGGGGGATGTGTCATTACAGGGTGTCCACTGTAGGAGTCAAGGTTCCTAAAGTATTTAGGAGTTTGAGTTGTGGTGAAATATCAGCCAATTGTTGATGTTACCCCATGATAGCCATACATCTTTTTACATTAGGGATGTCCGATATTAACATTTTACCAACTTTTATTTTTTTACTTTATATGCCGATATTGTCCAAACACTTAATTTCCGATTCCGATATCAGCCGATACGCATCCGTTTGCCCCTAATTCTGAGCTCTCAGGACCCAATGTGCGATTCCAGGAAACTGGTGATGACACGCAGTCGTTGTGTTATCGGAGTTTTATTACCCGAAAAAAAAAACGATAACGATTCTTACCGATACATAATTAGGCTGATATCGGCTGATAATATCAGCCGGCCGATATTATCGGACTTTGTCACATGTAAAGTTTCATGTAAAAGGCGAGACACTTTTACTTTATATATTTATATTATTATAATTAAATTATATATTTATTATATATTTGAAGGAACAGATAAATGTTATGATGGTTACAATTATGCCGTCTCTTGAGCAGTGTTTCGAGGGACTCTGTTTTTTGGAAATTACAGAAATAGGAAAAAAAAGTCTTTGCAGTGTTTCGAGGGACTCTGTTTTTTGAAATTACAGAAATAGGAAAAAAAAATGAAGACTAACAGTCTAAATCCAACTTCTGGTCATACCATGAGTACATACTTGGCATAATATTTATCCCCAGTATGTACTTTTGGTTCACTCCTGATGTCCCATGTTCTGCGTATACGGCGAGTCGTATTTTGCTGCAGCGTTTGAGCATTTGATTTTGGGTCACCTCATTTTTCCTGGAAGCTGACATTTCACCAAGAGACGCGAGAAGTGGTCATAAATGTTGCTTTCACCGACCCTCGTGTTGATGTACGGTAGAAAATAAATACATAAAAGATGTTTACGCAACTTAACCTTCCCGCAATCTGTGCAGAAAAAAAAATGACCTGTGTATTAGAACAATAATGGTGGGATAATGGAATTATTGGATATGAAGTGCCCTTCATTCTTCACCTGGGTTAACATGCATTAAACATTTTAATCTGATTAATCCTCTCGGGTTAATTAATGCAATTAAATCATTCGTTCAGACTGACCTAATTGTATTAAATCAAAATATTGATTAATATTTGCTGGTTGTATTAAACGTCATAATTATATCTCTGTAGGTTCATATTTGTGCGTGCGACCTGCTGTTTTCTCTGACTAGATGACAGTGTTTCAGGCGCAGATTCTGTTTTTACGTTCGGGTCAGGAACAAGCAGTTAGTCACGACTCGATGTTTCTACCGTCAGTCGTCTGCTTGTGCTGTAAAACCTCGGCTGTTGACCTACAGCTCTTGAGATCCAAAATCATCCGGCTAACACCAGCACATGTTAAACCATCATTGTAACATGTATTTACTATTAGTGTGGATGTAAAGCTTGGTCATAAATTATCTCTGATCAGATAAAAAAAAAAAAAAAGAATCTGAGTTTGACCCAAATGGCCATTACCTAAACCTTCAGTTCATCTCTTTTTGAAGTAATTAGTGATAATTGAGTCAGATTCTGTTCCGAAACAAGTTGTACGGCACTCCTTCATTTCCTGTAGCTCACATAATAGTCCTAATAGTGAATCGTTAGACATCAACATGACCTGAGTGATGCAAAGTTGTACTATGTAAGGTAACCTGGTAGTCATTAATGGTCAATTCTAGATATTTTTATACAAAATCTTTGCTTTTTCTTACAACAAAAAATGGCATTTTGAACCCCCTCCCGTTGTCCTTCACACGTTGTACACAACCAGGGTCCTCACAAAAGGTTTGCATCTTGTCCCAGAATCAGAGTATGAGGAAAAGTTGGCACAAGCCGTGCAGTTCAGGAGCACACGCACATGGCACAAGCCGTGCAGTTCAGGAGCACGCACACGCACACAAACACACACAAAGGCATATTATCAGCCACCGGGTCACTTAGACCCAAAGGACAACACGAGGGTTAAAGAATGATTTGTCCATGTCGTTCGTAATGACGCCAACAATTAAAATGCAGTAGCGTTATTTGGAGGGCAATGCTCCAGCTTTTAATGGCTGAGAGCGGGTACAGCGTGTACATCGTGTACACCTCATCAGTCCATCGCAGGGCCACATAACTGACCACCATTCACGTCCATACACATACCTCTGGTCAATTTAGAGTGTCCGATCAACCAAATACCCTAATGAGCGTGTTGGGGAGAAACCGAAGTACCAAGATAAAACCCCCTCAGGGAGCATGCAAACATGCACACTCCGTAACAGGTAGATTGACTGGGGATCGAACAAGCACCACCAATTACGTCACCGTGCCCAAATGTCAGCCATCTTAGAAGATCAATGAAATCTATGT